TTTTGTTCATTTTCATGGTTTCTTCCTTTCTGTTGAAATTGTCCGCATGCTTGTGGATTTCAATGGCTTCTCTGTGTAGTCTGACATGGTGGTTGTGAGAGTGGACCTCATTACCTCTGAGGATGCTTGCCATAGATGCAGGTGAAACGTCAGGAGAAAATGCCTCTAGAACATGGCCATATAGCCAGGAAAAACCTACAACAACCCAGTGATTCCGGCCATGAAACCCTTCGAAAATACATTAAGGCCCAATTTTTTAAAAGGAGAGGGTGGAGAATCCACTCGCTCATAAGATAAGGATGAAAACTGTTAGTAATGGAGAAACTGGGAAATTCAGATGACATGTGATAAGTAATGAATAACATTACGGTTACTGATGCTACAGGACTAAAAGGCCACGATTACATTATTCTAACCCCCACCCCCCCAACATGGGATAAGGCCTTATCAGAAACAACTCAAAGGTATACTACTACTACTACTACTACTACGACTACGACTAAACGGGCCAGTCTTGGATGGTAGAGTTTCATAGGTTGGTATGAGAAAGAAGAGGGGATTTGTCTTCATATCACAAAAGTATATGGTTGTCCACTGCCAAGTCAAAAATAATTACCATATTTACTTGAATCTGACGCTCACCTTTTTTTACTAAATTACATTGCCAAAACTGAGGTGCAAATTAGATTCGGTGGTGTGTTTAAATGGTACATAAGGTACCTGCATGAAAAGGTCCAGAAGAACCCGGAACCCCAGAGGCCAAACAGGGTTCAGAAGGGCATGAGGAGATTGTTCCCAGTGCTCACTGGGCTCAATTTGGAAGGCCTTGTGAATGAGGCCAGTTGGGAATTATGCACAGGCTTGGCCTGATGAGGAAGGGCATGACTTTTCAAACTGCCTCATTCATGCTCCCTGTCTCCTTGACATGCTAATTCCTCCTCGGTTGAGTATATTACATTTGAGAGCAAATCGATTCAAAATTAAGATGTACTTTATATTTGATGACACATTATACTTAAGTAAATATGGTAAATGGTGCAGTCATTGGGATCATACATCAAGGGCTTTCCAAACGAGAGACTGCGGAAGTTGTGTTTCCAGGAATTCTGAATAAAAAGTACTTTTGGATATGGGTATATATGAGAACTTGATCCTATTTCTTCCTGAAGTATACATGGAACTTAACAATCCTGAAGACTTTTCCCGACAGAACACCCCTTTCCTTGTAATTTTGGAGATAAAGAATAGAGGATAAATGATAGCGGCTTGTTCCTTTCAATTAATATGGCTCCTTACTTGCTTCTTTTTAAGCTGCTTTCCTAATTAAGTTCCACAAGAGCTTTCCCCCCATTGTTTTCATCCAATTCTGTATTACAGGCCATGCATATTGTTTCTTCCTCTTATTGTCAGCCGCCTTATTGTGAAGCTAAATTAGAGACTCCACTTGTGAATTTAACTTGTAGACAGATCACATGCGCCATTTCCATGGTAACTGCCTGATTTATGTTTGTATTTAATTAGAGTTGTCCATTACCTCTCCAAATAGAATTTAATTTGAATGCATGTGCCTGTCACATTTTAAAGGATTCATTATGCTTAATCTGAAAGTTGAATGACTAGATTTCCAGGAGGTTGCATATTATAAGCAGAGTTCATTTAACACTTTCCGATGGAATCTGCAGTTGTTCCTCCCTCCCCTCTCCAGATTTGTGACTTTCCTCTTTCCTTGTCCTTGTAGAAAATCAGCACAGAATTTCCCATTGGTACAGTATCATTCACATGAGCTATGATGCTGCTAAAAGCAAAAGCGGGTGTCAAACTGCATTGATTCTAGGGTGTAGATACACCCCGAGAGAGTGTAACTTGCCTGAGCCTATCCACTGGATACCCATGGCTGAGCAGAGTTTTGGACCCTGGTCTCTAGAGTCATAATCGAACGCTCGAACCACCACACCTTACTGCTTGTATTTGCAACTAGTTACTGTCTACTAAATCAGAGGCAAACATAATTTAGATAAATATTATGGCTGCTTTCTGAAACCATAAGTAAAGGTAAAGTTTTTCCTCTGACATTAAGTCCAGTCGTGTCCAACTCAGGGGGTTGGTGCTCATCTTCATTTCTAAGCCGAAGAGCCGGCATTGTCCAGAGACACCTCCAAGATCATGTGGCTGGCATGACTGCACGGAGTGCCGTTACCTTTTCGCCGGAGTGGTACCTATTGATCTACTCACATTTGCATGTTTTCAAACTGCTAGGTTGGCAGAAGCTGGGGCTAACACCGGGAGCTCACACCGCTCCCCGCATTCGAACCTATGACCTTTCGGTCAACAAGTTTAGCAGCTCAGTGGTTTAGCCCACTGTGCCACCAGGGGCTCCCGAGGTTTTTAACATATGTATTCAAAGCAGGAATGTGAAAACCTATACCCGAGATTTGAATAAAGGTCTCTTAAAGTCTGTATCCAGCCCTCCGGATTTCTGCAGAAGAAATCCATGTTCTCTTCCCCACACATCCTTCTCATAACACCATTATATGGTAAGTTTAAAAAGAAATAATTCTATATGCCCCCTGCCTCATTTTAAGGCATATTTGCTAAGACATATTGACTGGTTTTAAGAGCTTCAAGCAAGAAAAACCTTAATATTTTAGGCCCATCTTTTTGTTGGTTTTTTGGTTCTGTGCAACAATGGAATATGAAGCCCCTGAAAACTTCCTTGAAACTGAACCTGGAATGAAAATGGTTCTGTTCCACTAGCCCCATAGCAGGATGTATATCCCAGCCTTGAACAACAGGGAGGCTTAAAAGAAAATAAAACACAGTAGTGATCAATATCAAGATATTGTTGTATGTAGGATCATAGATTTTGAAAGGGCTCCATGCGCTATCAGGTACAACCTCCTCTGCAATGCAGGTTTTCCAGGAAAGGCTGGAGCTGTCCAGAGAAGGAAACTCCACCGCCTCTTTAGTTAATTGGTGGCATTGCTGAATCGCTCTTACTGTTAAGATGTTCCTTCTAATATTCAATCAAAATCTCCTCTTCAGTAACTTAAAACCATTAGAATCATAGAATCAGTTGGAAGAGACATCATGGGCCAACCAGTCTAACCCCCTGCCAAGAAGCAGGAAAATTGCATTCAAAGCACCCCCGACAGATAGCCATCCAGCCTCTGTTTAAAAGCCTCCAAAGAAGGAGCCTTTGCCACAGTCCAGGACAGAGAGTTCCACTGCTGAACAGCTCTCACAGTTAGGACATTCTTCGTAATGTTCAGGTGGAATCTCCTTTCCTCGTCCAACGAAGCACAGTAATCACATCAACACAATCACCATAAACAGCTTGCATTCTCTGATTAATCTCCTTTGGGGTGACACCTTCTGCTGTCAAGAATTCAATGACTGCACGTTGCTTAAGTTACATTGACCGACCGTCTGTGCAGGGTTGCATACTTCGCACTTTAACAACACAACCGTTCAATGCTAAGACTTCCCGCCAAAATGGAATTGTAGAGGAGAGTCTATTGAACAAGCCGGTATCTGTCGCATACCAGTACTGCCATCTGTTGAGGAGTTACGAAGGTGGAGGCATTACTTTTCATTCAACCCTTGTAATATTGGAATAGTGTGTACATTCTAGGGCATTGTGTTTTAAGGAGTATATAGCAGCAGGTTCAGAGAAGGACAACAAGGATGGTAAGAGTCATGGTGAATGATTGAAGGAGCTGGGCATGTTCTGTGTAGTGAAGACAGGGATGCGTGAGTGCACTCTTTAAATACTTCAAGGACTACCACAGAGAGGAGACAAAAAGCCTGTTCTCTGCTATCCTGGAGGGTAGGGCCAAGCTCTTTCAATCATTTGCCATGATTCTTATCCTCCTTGTTGTCTTTCTCTGAACCTGCTGCTATATACTCCCTTGGTTTAGCGGCCTTTAGAAAATTCCTACCACAGTGTTGTAGTTTTTCTACTTCATATTTTATCCAAATGCTCCCAACTGTTCCTCTCTGATCTCTCTCATGGATTTCTGTGCAAATGAATTTGTCTTTGACATATAATGCTACTCCCCCTTCGTTTCTGCCACACCTATTCTTTTCAAATAAGCTATATCCTTCAAATGCAGTATTCCAATTATGTGATTCATCTCACCAGGCCTCTATTCTGCCTGTAAGGTCATATTTACCTTCTTACATGTTGTTTGTTTAATGCATAGACATTTGAAACTGGATTTGTTATCACCTACTAATTTATTGTCAGTATTTTTTCCATTGTGCATAGTCTTCCACTCAGCTTCTCCTCTAGAACTTAGCTTGCCTTTTAATTTGTTTTTAATTCTGCTGATAGTTTCACGACATTTTAATTTGGGTGCATTTTAGTGATGTGAATTTTTTATCTATATCTTTAGAACTTCTCTAACCTGCTTTGAATTTCATGGCTGGTCAAAGGTGGGATAGAAATAAATTAATAAACCAAAATATACAATAAACAAGTTAATACAATAAGCAAGTTTTTATGTGTGCATGGAACTTGTGTTGCTACAAGGACATGTGGTCTCACTACTATGGCATTTTATACCATTATCCAGAAGCTTTTAGCAATTCAGTTGATTTTTTTAAAAAAAGGAATAACTAAAAGTGGAATCATAAAATTATAGAATAAAGTACTGAATGTAATTATTTTGACTAATGGGAAAAGTGTCTTTGTGGCTGTTTGTCTATCTATATCTGTGTATATAAATCTGTAATGACAACTAGGAAATTTTAGCTTGTTAGAATTGCATGCTGAACAAATATTGGGAAGGAATGCTATGGAAAGAACTATCAAATATTAATGTGAAAAGAAAAGGTAGGGGAGAAATGCTCATCTAAAGAAAAACAAAGATGGTTTGCACTGTGTTAATTTAAAGGAGTTTGCATTGATTAAACATAACTATGACTACATAGCTGTGATGATGATGATGATGATGATGATGATACATATATTCTGTTTCTTTTCCCTCTTCCTTTTTCAGAGGAAGACGGTGGTGACCTCCTCAAGACGGGGATCAGTTTTCCGGGGACACCAGAGGAAGAGCTAGGTACTAATGTTATTTTCTATCTAAAGAAAACTAGTTGTAAACCAATACAAACTGCCATACAACCCCTTCAAGGATCAAAAATCAACTGTAATTGTATGTACCTTTCATTTTTATCCAAAATTCCCTAGTAAAAGGATTTAGTATCAAAATGACGGTTTAATATTTTTAGTGTGTGGGAAGCATTTCAGTTATATGGCCTTTTTCTTCCCCAGCTTTTCTTACTATTTGTACTAGACCAAAAGACAAAATAAAATACAATGAGTTGAAAGAAAGAAAGAAAGAAAGAAAGAAAGAAAGAAAGAAAGAAAGAATCAATAAAGAGTTTGTAAAGGACATTCTATTTCTACATTTCTATCTAGGCAAATTAAACACATGAATCCATACTGTGTCGCTGATCCACCACTTGTTGACAGCCAGATAACCAAACATATTTGGAAAGCCTCCAGTTGTCCAGATGTTGGGAACTTGAGCTCACAGAATTCTAAAGCATTGGCCATAGTGAGAGTTGACGCCCCAAACATCTGGAAGACTAGAGTTTGAGAACCACTAAACTAATTGAGATGCCTAGAATCCCTCTTGCACTCCATTAGATATGTTTGACTTTTCAAAAGTCTTCTTTGCCACATGTATGCAATGTGAGCTTGCCCAGCCACTCAAAGGTATGGTTATCACATCTGATAGGTACAGTTATTTGCTTCATAGAGACTTGTTGAGCATGAAGGAGGCCTGGTTGTACAAACCTCACATCCACCTGTGTTAAAAAATTCAAAGCGTAGTAGGTAACCTCCTTGAAAGAGCCATTAAATACATGCAGTATCCACTGAATATCATATTGTTTGTCAGTCACATGCATGTACATGTTGTTAATATTTCTGTCAGTTGGCTATTGTCACTTCACAATGCAATGAAAGGGGGCAGTGGTGGAAAAGCTCTGCACGTTTTCAGCAAGTAGTGGCTTTTGTTCCTGTCATTAATCCCTTTTTGTTTAAAAATGTCCAGAGGGTTTCAGTGGTGGTTATATATTTTCAGTATTTTGGTACACATGAAAAAGGCACTGTTTTCCTCCCTAAGCTATAGTGCATTTTAGTCTTGGTTGTTTTACATATTGTGGTTGGAATAAAATGTGGCACAATAAAGGGCAAGTACAGCATTTTTACTGATGAGCATGTAGTATGGACCAATGGTTCTCAACCTGTGAGTCCCCAGATGTTTTGGCCTTCAACTCCCAGAAATCCTAAACTGCCTGGGATGTCTGGGAGTTGTAGGCCAAAACACCTGGGGACCCACAGGTTGAGAATCACTGGTATAGACAATATGTTGTAGAGTGATCAGTCCTTTTGAAATGGTTGTTTCAGTTGATTTTCCACCACAAAAGATGAACCTGGATAAATCCGTGTCTTGCTCACATCCTGGCCATGCCTTTCTTGTTGTTTTGTTAAAAGAAAAGGTTTATTCAGTACTAGGTCTCACAAGCCACCAAGGACCACACATCCCAAGACTGCTCCACCCATTTCTTATAATTTTATTAAGAAGCAAAGGAGAGGGAAGCTCTGAGGCTTGATTATAGAGAGCCAGCAAGGCCATGCTGCAAGAATCCGTATTTAAGGCTGCTATAATAATTCCCAGACCCTGGGCTAATTTATTTCATCCTTTCATTGTGCAAATCACACATGTCATGTGAAACACAAAGAGACAAACTAATTGAATAGATGCCTCATTTTATTTCATTACCTCTAACGTGCTACTTAAACCACAAATTATTCAAGTAAGATGCATGCAAGGTGTAGTAAGCCTGTTAAACACCTGATAGGTGGCATAAAGTGATCCCTGACTCCTGCCTGAGAAATCCGTGTTCTGCCATTAATCTTGGCAGTCCACATTTTTATTGCGATTCTGGAAACAGAAGAATCAGTTGTTTGGAAAACATATTCAGCAAATTGTCAGAGGCATTCAAAACAATTCTGATCAAGATTTTTCTGCAGTGACTGATTTTTGCAGACAACTTTCTATTGCTGCATTTGCAGTGGGTCATTTTCTTCTAACACAAATAAATACCTCATTCTTTCCTAGCATTTAACATCAGTACCTTCTCACCTTTAAGATCCCAAGTGTTTTGAGCCTGTATTTTGTTTAACTTGTGCTGCAAGTCATCATGGATCCCATCCTGGGGGACATTTGTGATAGTTATTTCTTTGGGGTTGCTTGAGTGGTGGATGAGCAATGAACATATTGGCAAGTGCTGGAAAGAAGAGGGAAGAGGCCAGTGTCTAAACATAACAGAATGGTATGAAGTCATATCTTGTGGCTTAGGAAGGACATTTTTTTCCAAACCTCATTTCTAGACATTTAAGGAATTTCTCAACCAGGCATGGATTTCCCTCACTAATTTTCTTCTGTGATTTTAGAAATGTTCTTCCCACCATTAGAAAGTCTTTGAAACTGTTTTGACTTTGAAACCCAATTAGGACATATTCTGCACAACATCTACATATTGTTTTTCAGAGAAGAAGAAATTTGGGTACAGGAAATGGCTTTTTCAATGCATAAAATACTTTCCTTTGTGATAAAGGCTATTTTCTGTGCAAAATCCTGTAATGCAAAGCTTCTTTGCAATTTCGGTTTCTTCTCATCAGTATTTCTCAACACTCAAAAGGGATGTTCTTCAGCTATTTGTTTTAAAATATTGTTTCCACCCCCATTCCTACCACCATCTCCCCAGCAACAATGCCCTATGGAATTTATAGGTTATCTGGAAACAACTTCCATAGCAAATTTAACTATAAAATAGAGTTCATTAAAAAATAAAACAGTGTCAATCTCACATCCTTTGGTTTGTTTAGAAAACTAATGGCTTCGACAGTTAATTGATATAATGAAAGTACACAATTTCTTTCATTAATATTAATCTCTTGAATTTTAATGGGTAACATTAACAAAATAAGTTTTGATACCTAACATTCTAAACTTTATTCTTAATACCATATTTCTTCAATTCTAAAAAACAGTTGATTGTAAGGCACACATTAATGTTAGTACCACCAACCATATATATGTATATATACACACACACACACATAGTGTGTGTGTTTGTGTGTGTATAGGAGCACATGATTAACCTGTGCCCAGATTTAAGAAACCCGATTAGGTGCGAGTTGAAGTGCACACACCTCCCCCCAAAACCCAAGCTTTCCTGGGGGGGAGGATGTCCAGATGCCCTGCTGGACCTTCTGGCAAGGCACCTGAACTCAAAACAAAACTCCCCAGAAAAGCCTTTTAAAAATAAAGTAACTGACCCGGCCACCATTACCGTGCTGCTAGAGCTCTCCTTGTGTATAGAAATAAATGATCCAGGAGAAGTGGGGCTAAGGAGTGATTTTCCTTTCCCCCCCCCCTTTCTCCTGGTTCATTATTTCTATCTACCAGAAGAGCTCCAACAAGTAAGTTATCTTTTAAAAAGGTTTTTTAAAGGGTTTGGGGAAGGGGGCAGGAATTGCCTTGTTTTTTGGGGGGTTTTGGGGGTTCCAGGAGCCCCAAAATCCTGAGACAACTGTGTGAATTGGGACCAGAAAATCCAAATAGAATACACAACTGGAAAGACCCCAGTCTTCTGAAAGACCCGAGTGTTTCCAGCTGTCAAATTACTTCAGGACAAAGCTTTGTCCCAAAGGAATTCGTTTTTACATGGAGCATCATTTGGACGTCCCACATAAAAATCCAGGAGGTCATGTATTTTCCACCCTGTGTGAATGTGCCATAAGATGCACCCCATTTTTAGAGATGTTTATATAAAGAAGTGTGTCTTACAATTGAAGAAATATCTCAAATCTACATGTGTGTTTATTTATGGCATCCTTATATACTGTGTTTCATGAATATTTACTAATGGCAGTTTAAAGTGTAAATTAAGCTTGCGCCTTTTAAATTCTGGCAGTGGTACCCAATTTTCATTTTTCTAACACTGAGATGATCCTTTTAACTAGCATATAGTTACGTTATGTCTTTGTTGTTGTTTCTTTTAATTATGAGATGATTTCCTGCGTATTGCCAATGTACAAATTAAATTCTGGAGGCGTAGGCCAGCAGGAGAACAAACATTATAGGGAAGACAAAGCAGGTGCAAAAATCCCTAGATTCTTTTTAATTAGCGTAAAAAATATGGAAAACCAAATTGAAATTTTAGGCAGCCCTAGCATTTCTTGGAGTAACGTTCCCATTACACGCCTGAATGATTTGATAACCTTGTCTATTTTTCAGAGAGATTCTTCAGCTGTCCTTAAATTACACTTGAACTTGTTGCGAGGATAGGTTAAGTTCTGCATCATTGCAAATATTATTTTACTGATGCTGGAGAGGAATCTACGGGATATGAAATATTTCTCAGTCCAGCAGGTAGACTTTGCGGCCGGAGTCATGCACCTTTGGCTAGCTGAAGGCATGATATACTCTTCCTCCCAGATTTCATCCCAGTAATTCTTCGACCCAACTCACCTTGAGTGATCTCCGCTACTCAAAATGGTGCACAACAGTCCTAGCAAAGATCAGGAAATTTGGGTTATGATAGCGACTTCTTGAATATGCTAACTTTCACTGAGATGTTTACCCTCATTAAAAAGAGGTTGCTAGAAAGAGATTATAAACAATCACTGAGCTTGGCCAATAAATCCTGTTCACCTATGAACATGGCATTCCCATTCATGCAGGGAGACTCAGCCTTTTATATTGCAGCACTCACTAACCCCTCATACAGGAGAGCCTATGTGCTGGCTAGATTTAATATTATGCCATCTCCGCTCCATAGAGGAAGACTCAACAGTCTACCGAGTGATAAGAGGCTTTGTCTCTGTAGCACAGGACAGCTGAATTCCATCCTGCATATTTTTCTGCACTGCCCAATTTACCAGGAACTAAGATCTAGCTTACTATCACAAGTTATAGAATCATAGAATCATAGAGTTGGAAGAGACATCATGGGCCATCCAGTCCAACCCCCTGCCAAGAAG